GAGAAAAAGGAGGAGGAGAGGCCCAGCCCGAACCTCCCACGGCCACAGCCCCCGGAGGAAGTGGCTATCCTTTCTCCAGCGGCCCCACCCGCAGTCTCCGCCAGCGGCCACCACACCTGGGTCTCGTTTTTCCAGTGGCCCAGCTGGTCCAGGCAGTGGCAGGAGGAGAAGGAAGCTGGCACGGGACACCTGGTTCTTCTCGGTAGCCACAGAGAACGAGGCCTGAGGAAACCTCCGGGCCCTGAGCCAGGCACCAACATCGGGCCCACATGGGCCCAGCCCATTCATGCTTTGCGGGCGTCTTTCTTCAGAGCTCCTCGCAGCCACGGGAAGACTCTTCTAACCACGCGCCGGGCCCTGTGTGATGACCCGCGCAGGGCCCACCTTCTGACCGTCTCTCACATCCTCCTCCCAGCCCGCCACCTTCACGTGTGCTCCTTGGTTTTGCTGTCCAAGCTTCTTTGTTTGAGCGTGAATACTTTCCACACAAGACAGCGCTTGCCATTAGCCGGGGAAACAACTTCCTGGTGCTCTCCTGCGGTGCAGGGCAGTTACGTGGGAGGTTCTCACCGTGCTTTCACCTCAGACTAGCTGAGGCAGTCACCCCGGGCACGGGGCTGTTCACGCCGACCTCTGCCCTCATCCAGAGGTAATCCCTTCAGGCTGAACGGGCCTCCCTGGCTTGGGAGAGGGGACCCTAGACAATGCTGGGCAGTGACAGTGATCTGGGCCGGTGCCTCCTTCCAGGCAGATTATAGGGGCTGGAGATGTCTCTTCTCCTCACTCCTAAGTTGGGAAGTGTCACGAGGACTGAGATGGGGTCTTTCCCCAATTCTGATGCATATGGTGGGTGGCCCACATCTTCACTCCAACCATCTGCTATGTCCTCAATGCCTCTGTCTTTTAAGGCTGAGGAGCATCCCTTCCAGAATGTTCCAGAATCTTCCAGAAGCTCCCATGGTTCTGAAGGGAACGCTCTGGATCAGGGGCCCCTGTGATCTGCTTTCCTGAGGAAATGTACAGACACACACTACACATGTCTCCTGGGCACTCCGGAAGTGTCCCCTGCTCTCCATGGAGGGCCCTGAGAAATACACCTTTCTGATAGGATGTCCCTGCTGGTCCTTTGGGACACTCCTGTCCCATGCTGGGGATGGCATCTGCCAGCCTGAGTCTGATCAGTTGGAACATCCTCCTCCTCTGGATGCCATGGCTTGTTTTAAGGTGGGCACAGCCAGGCAGCAGAGGCCTGGACATTGTACCAACACTGAGAAGTCGTGGGTCACACAGCATGCCAGTATCCTAATCTGCTCCAAAAAAGGGACAAAAAAGCATACTATTTTGAGGAATCCCCATACTGATTTCCATAGTGGTTGTATAGTTTATATAGTGGTTGTATTAGTTTATGTGGTGGTTGTACTAGTTTATGTGGTGGTTGTACTAGTTTATATAGTGGTAGTACTAGTTTACATTGACAGTAAGGAGGGACTACCTCCCCACAGCCTCACCAGCATTTGTTATTATCTGATTTCTTGATGATGGTTGTTCTGCAGTAAGATGGACTCTCAGTGTTGTTTTAATTTGCAGAGGTGTTGAACATTTCTTCATGTATATTAACCCAGCTTTTCCCCTTCTAGGTGTCTTCCTGACGGAGTTAAACACTTCACATTACACTGATCCATGCACACCTGTGTTTATAGCAGCACAGCTCACAGTAGCTAAATCTTGGAAGTGGCTAGGTGTCCACCAGCAGATGAAGGGACAAAGAAAGTGTGGTATTATGCACCATGGAGTACTACTCTGCCATAAAGAAGGATAAACCGGAGTCATTTGTAGGAAGATGGATACACCTTGAGACCTTCATGTTAGCGAACTAACTCAGACTCACACCCTTAAATATCGTGTGGATTCTCTTATAGGAGAAACCCAAAGCATAAATACGCTAAAGAGCAAAATCAAAGCTAGATGGTAGGGAGTAGGGAGCCAGTGCAGATCTTTTGCAAACTGGAAGGGGACCAGGCGATGGGAGGAGGGGGAGGGGAGAGGAGCGCAGAAAGAACTAAGATTCGTGACATACACATCCACTCCCCACAGGAATGCGATCATTATGGACCGCAAAACGGACTCACAAAAAGTTAAAACAAAGGAAAAGGGCAAAGTGCTGCACCTTCAGCCATGAGGGCGCCAGCCCACGCAGCCGTTAAATGTGCGACCTCGGGCAGGCAGCGAGGGGCTGGGAGGAGGAGGCGGCAGGAGGACGGGGCTGGAGACTGAGCAAGACTTTCCTGCCGCGGACACCAACGTCAGGCAAGGAGGCCGAGCGCGGACACAGCCGCTTCTGACGCCCAGGGCCCGCAAAGGAACCGTTTCCTCCGCCGGTGGGGCCGCACGCTCTGAGCAGCTGCACTGGGGTCCCGGCTGTCCCCGGTGCCCCCGGGAAGCGCTGGACACAGGCACAGGGGCATGTCCAGTTTAGTAAGAACCTGTCCCGTCTCTTCACCAGCGCATCTTTGGAGCACCTCACTCCTCACCGGGTTGGTGCACGCCCAACGCGTCTTTATGTCCCCTCCCCCTCGACCCCGTTCCCACGTGCAAAAAATCTATTTCCCTACTTCCTGTATTCTTTTCTTTCTTTCTTTTTCTTTTTCTTTTTTTTTTTTTTTTTTGGTACCGGGAATCAAACTCAGGACCTTGTGCTTGCCAGGCAGGCGCTTGTGCCGCTGAGCTGTATCCCTGGCCCTCTGTTTGCTATCTTTTATTTTGCTGTTTATTCAGACTGTTTGTCATGTAAGGGAAACCATACAATATTTAAGCTTGTAGGTCTGATTCATTTCACTTAACATTATGGTCTCAAGGTGTGTGGTGGATTGGTAACTGGTGGTCAGCTTGGAACACCCAGCTAAACTGAGTCAGCGTGGTGCTGGGTGTGGAGGACCCACCTAGGGATTGCTAGCAGCAGCATAGGAGGAGAACTGGAGGGGAAGGTGCGGCCTGTTGGTTCTGGAGGAGCTTGTCATGCTGGGCTCCCCTGATATGAACTTTGCTGTTCTCACCATCGGAGGAGCTCTGGACCTCGATGTTGCTGAGGATGGCTGTGGTACCTTTCGGAGGAGAGCTCTGCTTCTTCTGAGCGTTGCTTCCTGACTCCAGTGCAGATCCCTCAGCCTGCTAGCACAGATCCTCCATCCTGCTGGTGCAGACTTTCTGGCTTCCACCACTGACCTTTGGGCCTTCCCAGCGCAGATCCATGAAACAGACCTGCATGAGATATTGTCATGGGCTCTGGGCCTCCAGCTGGACTCGTGTTAGGCACTGTTATGGGCTCTAGGTCTTCAGGAGGACTCTTGCAGGACACTGCCCAGGGATCCAGACCTTCAGCTGGATTCTTTGGGTTTCTAGTGTGTGGGCAGATTTCCTGAGCTCTTTGACTCTTTGGGTGACATAAAATAATCCTATAGGAGCTGAGGATTTAGCTCAGCAGCACAGCGCCTGCCTGGCAAGCGCAAAGTCGTGAGTTACATTCCCAGTACCAGAAAAAAAAATAATAATCCTATAAATTGTGTCCTATTTTGTTTCCCTTGCAAATCCTGACTACAGCAAAACACTTGTTTTCCTACAGATGACTCGTTTATCCTTCTTTGTGGCAGAGTAGTGCTCCATGGTGTGTAAATGACGCAATTCCTTCGTCTGTTCATGTGCCGATGGACCTCAAGCCCACCCCCAAGTCTCAGCCACTGCAAGTTGTGCTGCAGTAAACACCAGTGTGCATGGAGCACTGTGCAGCCCAACCTGGGGCCAGGATTTCAGGAGCCTGGCCAGCACGGGGTGAGCTTCGGGCAGGGAGCCCGTCCCCGGATGCCAGCTCCTGGTGGTCCGGCAGGGGCTCTGCTCAAATGCCTGAGGGCCAGAGACACAGGGGCACCAAAGGGTATGGCCCCTCTGTCCAGCAGGCACTTCAGGGAGACCTTGTGCCAGCTAGAGTCTCCTGATGGCTGCAGGACAGTCCTGGAAGCAGAGGACAAGACGGGACATGCCGGTCCCAGCCGGGTGGTCACTTCTGGCTCCGGGCCCGGCTCCGGGAGCCTGGGCGCTCTGCTGACAATCAGGTCACGGAGGGAGACTCCTGACCTGAGGGTCCATGTTCTCCACGAAGTGGGGCCGCTGGGAGCTGGGCCCAGAAAGAAAACGCCCCCAGGCCTGGGCTTTCCATGTGGGCCATGCAGAGGTCAAGCCTGGGGCGAGGTGGGGCCCAGGCTGGACATCCTGCTTGGGGACAGGTCTGGTGCTGTCACCTAGGGCTGGGGGGAGGGGCAGTGCTGGACGGCTGGGGCCTAGAGGGTGGGCTGGGGCCGGGACCACTGCTCTGTAAAACCTACACTCAGGAAGGAGCCAGGGCGGGTCCTACCCCAGGGCCCACTCACTGCACGTCCTCCATCCCAGGAACAAGGGGCGCTTCCCCCTAGGGGACCCTGTAAGAGTTAGTCAGCTCCGTCCAGGAAGCTACAGTCCTGTGAGACAGTACAGGCGGGGTCGGGCAGAGGGAGGGAGGAAGCGAGGAGAGGATGCAAGCACTGTCACAAATGCCTGACCACACTTTCCAAACAGGAAGGGAAGTCAGAGGAAAGTGAACCTGTAATCCCAGGACTCAGGAGACTTGAGGCAGGAGGATCACCACGAGCTCAAGGCCCGCCTGTGCTACACAGAGTGCAACACAATTTACGGAGGAAGACTGTCACACACACGGACACACACGCGGGGGACGCAAAGCCGAGTGGCAGTCAGTGAGAAAAGTTCCTAGGCCTTGACTCCTGCCTGGCATAGGCCCTGTAAGGGATCCGTCATTCTGTGGGGCTGGGGCTCCCCCGCAGGGCCAGGCACAGTGGCTGAGGCAGCCACAGAGGACTAAGCACAGGCACGCACGTGGGAACGAAAGCTTCAGGCCTTTGGTTTTCAGGAAATTATTCAGGAAATAACAAAACAAAACAAGCAACAAGAACCAGTAGTCTTCCAGAAAGTTGAGTACTTTGCTTTATTGACACGAAACAGACCCCCTCTGGTGTCGAGTCCGGAACTAGATCCTACAATACTCAAAGCATGTTAGGCATATTAAAACATAGCCAGTTCTGCGGTTCGGGCACTTCCTGTCACGAAAAAGCAGCGTCCTGCCCTCGATCCACACTAACATACACAGTATATTAATATCCCGCCCGGCGTCGCGTTCTGCTCTGCTCCGTCCTGTCGCATTCATGGGGCTCCCGCGCTCCTGCCCAGAGCGAGGAGGCGGAGCCACCAAACCCTCCCATCCCAGAATGCAACTGCCCCCCCCACCCCTGGCTGCACCCCAAACACATCAGAGATGTCAAGCCACACCCCAGGCACCGGAAGCTGGGTAAAATGCCTGTCCAACCAGGTAACACTGTTTTTAGTCCAAAACTGAATGTACAATGTAAAAAATTTAAAATGACTTTCACACAGGTGACTCGAGAGTTCAAAGATGTTTGGGAGAGGAGGAACAAACAAGAGCAGGGCAGTGCCAGGGGCACGGCGCCCAGGAGGGATGACCATGCCATTGCCCTGCGGCGGCCCCGCCCAGCTCCACACTGGGAATGCTTTCCACAGGTCTAAGCCTGCGGGCTGCGCACGGAGGGGTCCCCCCAGCTCCTGAGCCAGGGCCGGCTGCCCGCTGCCTGAACAGACAGACCCGGTCCCTACCGCACCTCTCCGTGTGGCGTGCTCTGCACAACCACAGCGGCTTGCTTTGGGAAATGGGGACATCCTTGCTCCGGCTGTGGTACCAAGGGACCCCCATCAGCAGCTCTTTGGGAGCCCAAAGAAATGATCTGACGCATCGCCCCTCCTGACGCTGGGCGCCAGGGGCAGATGTGTTAACAGCAAACGTGTGAGGTGGTGGGTGCCGTGCCCCCCAGCAGCACCCAGGCACACTGGCCTCCACGGAAGGCAGCGGAGCGGCCCGGCTAGCCGGAGTCCCCGCGCTGAGCACCACGCTGCGCGAGAAGCCCCTGCAGGCACAGCCCGCGGGCGGCAGGCTAGGTTTTGCTGCGCCGCAGGAGTGCAGCCGCAGGGCCCTGGCCACTCTGGAACTTGAGACTCTGCAGGTTGATGTGAGCCCCATGCCTGAGCAGCGTCTCCACGGTGCGCGCATGCCGGCCCTGGGCGGCCAGGTGCAGCGCGCTCAGTCCCTGGGCATCGGGCAGGTCAACAAGGTCGGCGGTGACTAGCTCCTCCACCACCTCCGAGTGCCCGTGAGTGGCAGCCAGATGCAGCGCTGTCTGCTGCAGCGGCCCTCGGGCCAGCACGTCGGCCTTCTCCTCCACCAGCAGCCGCACGGTGGCCAGGTGTCCGTTGCGGGCTGCCAGGTGCAGGGCGGTGCAGCCCTCGGTGGTCACCGCCTCCTTGCCTGCGCCCCGGTGCAGCAGCAGCCTGGCGGTGCTGGTGTGCCCGGTCTCCGCAGCCACGTGCAGGGGCGTCTGCGCCAGCAGGCTGCGGACGTTGACGTCAGAACACAGGTCAATGAGGACGCGGGCCACGCGGTAGTGCCCCCGCTGTGCAGCCAGGTGCAGCGGCGTGCGGCCGTCCAGCGTCTGTGCGTTGACACTCACGCCCGGCTGCCTCGCTAGCAGCTTGACGATGGCCAGATGGCCCTGCCAGGCGGCGTAGTGCAGCGGCACCCAGGCGTCCTTGCCCTGCAGGCCCACGTCCACGCCGCGGCGCAGCAGGATGCGCACGATGTTCTCCTGGCCGTGCTGGCAGGCCACGTGCATGGGCGTGCGGCCCTCGAAGTCCACCTCGTGCAGCGACGCGTTTCTCTCCAACAGCAGCCGCGTGCTGGGCTCGTCTCCGTTCTGCGCAGCGAAGTGCAGCGCCGTCCACTGGTCCTCGTCCTTGGCGTTGACGCTGCTCTTGCGGGCCAGCAGCAGCTCCACCACGGCCCGCGCCCTGCGCTCCACGGCCACATGCAGCGGGGTGGAGCCCTTCCGGTTGGTCAGGTTGGGGTTGGCGTTGTTGAGCAGCAGCCACTTGACGCACTCCTCCTGCCCGGCCTCCACGGCCAGGTGCAGCAGGCTGGCGCTGCCGTCCAGGACCAGGTCCACGTCCTGCGGCTGCAGGATCTTCATCAGCCTGCTCGTGTCCCCCGACACGATGGCGTCCACCAGCTTCTTCTTCTGGATGTCTGTGGTGCCCAGATCTGCAGGGAGCGGGGAGAGGCAAGGTCAGATAAGGTCACCCTGGGGGACACTGATCCCGAGGCCCCGCTGTCACGAGGGGAGGCGGCCCACGACTTGCAGGAGCCTGGCCAGGAACACTCAGGACGGGCCGGCCTGCACTGTTCAGCCCCAAAGCACCTGGCCCAGAGGACAGACGTCTGAGGTGCTCTTCTGTTGACCTGCAGCAGGTCCCTGGGGTTGGCGTCACGTAAGAGATGGAAAACGCAGCCCCCCGATGTGCAGAGTCAGTGACTCCTGCTAAGGTCCCTTCATTTATAAAGAATCAGGGTGCAAAGCCCACTCAGCAGGGTACAGGGAAAGCGGGACCGCCCGGCCCCTCCTTCCGGGGGACATCGTGGGGTGTTCGCTAGCACAAGCCCCTAAGGGTGGGAACATAGGAACCCTGCCACACCACCTAGCATCCTGACGTGCAGGCAGGGAGACTGTGCAGTGGACACAGTGTGACAGCAACAGCCCCTGCCCGCGAGACACTGCCCCCAGTGGCCAGCAAGTAAGGGATGCGGCCTCAGGAGCCAGACAAGGTGTCACCCAACGGTGTCACCTGAGGGAAGGTTCCAGAAGCCTCTGCCCCGTGCAGTTTCCAGCCATCTTCAGCTCAGCCTGACCGTCCTTCCCACAGTGAGCTCCAGCCAGATTGCCCTGCCCACCTGCCTCAGGCCTCTCCTCACCCAGCAATGCCCTCCTTTGGCCCCTGAACGTCACGGCAGGCAGACCCCAGCCCCCCTGAACATACACCCCCACCAAGATCAGAGCCTTTCCAGGCACGCGGCCCTTGTGCTGCATCCAGGGGAAGATGCCACGTGCCCCAGCGCAGCCTCAGCTCAGGACAGGACAGGGCCAGGCCAGCCCCAGGCTGCAGAGTGGAGCAGAGCAGCACTGACCCCCATACCCCGGGCTGGGACAGGGAAAGCTACCTGCTAAGAACACCCACCAATATGAACTCAGAGATAAGACCTGCCAGGGCCAGCTCAAAGGGCCCCCCGGCTCGCAACTCCCAGGTGTCAGCACCCTGAGGATCACCGACCCTGCAGGGCACACACAGTACAGAAGCGGGGGGCCGGGTGCACCCCTCACTGCCTGAGACGCCGTGGGGCTGGCTGGCCTCCTGGCTTCCAACCTGCAGACCCGAGGCTGGTGCAGGGCTGGTGCAGGTGAGACACACTCGATGCAGGCAGTTAGAGCGGCCCGCTCCCTCCCACCGAGGGACATGAGACAGTCCCGCAGCCCCTGTCTCTGGATTCCAGCACGCTGACCACGCTCCTGAGACCAGAACAACCCAGTTAGAAAAGCAGGAATCACTGGGGCGAGTTGCTCAGACTCCAACACACACCGCAGCTGAGTCTCTCACCACTTGCGGACGGCTCCCGCTCGAAGGACAGCGACAGTGACCCTCGGGAAGAGAAGGCGGAGTCCACCGATGACACGCCTGAGAGCCTCTTGCCGCTGCTGGACGACTGCAGCTTGCACTCAGAGGAGCTGCGGCTGAGCTCCTCCGGGCCCTCAAGGGTCTGTGAGATGCCAGAGTCCAGCTGTGACAGGAGCTCCGAGAGGCTGCAGTCATTATCGAAGGGCGGGGCGGAGGCGCGCTTGAGACGCGTAGCCTCGGGCACGGCCTGTGGGACAGACAGGGGCCAGGGTGAGGCTCAGCCTCTGACCACCCCACAACAGGCACAGGAAGAGGGGGATGAGGACACTGAAGGTGGCCAGGAAAACTCAAGAGTCTGGGAAGATTCGCCACCTCAGACACACAGGGCCCAGACCCAGCACCGCAGGACACGACGGGCGGTCCATAGCGCACCATCTGGCCGCCACCTGCTCAGGGTCAGCGCTTTCTACACAAAATGCAAGCACGAAGCAGCTGCGGGAGCTGATGCAGGGGCTGGACCCCGACCGCCAAGGACAGCTGAGAAGCCTCAGGAAGACAGCACCGGCTGGGTGCCCACCCCACTGCCGACAGCCCTCGGTACCCTCTGCTCCAGCCCCGTGGGTCTGCCCTGGGTCTGCATGAGGGGTGGAGCCTGGCCATCAGACGCTACTTTCTGGCCATCGAGGTGTGAGCGTCCTGCTGTGATGCATGCTGCTTCCCTGCTCCTGTCCCTCTGCCCCTGCCCCCTAGCTCGGCCTGACTCGGTGGCCAGGTGTGCTGAGCCAGGTCTCGTGGCTGGGGCCAGGCCTAGCTGTTCACCATCTGCTCCTGTACCTTTGCCCCAGCTCTCACACCCTCGCACGCCCCTCCCCGTTCAGGGCACCACATAAACCCGGCCTGGTCTCCCGGGAGGCACCGTCCCGGCTGGGGAGCCCAGGGCCTCCAAAACCTCCTCCACGGTAGCTGCACAGTCAGCCAGGGAGATGCGATTAAAAGGGTCGGGTCGTCAGCCAGGGTTGCAGAGGACCCCAGGCTGCCCACCTCCTTCGGACGCCCGGGGCTCGCTCTGGGAGTGTCCAGCAGCGCCCACCCATGTCACGCACAAGCCTGAGGCAGGAGACTGGGTGCATGGGGGGCGCCTAGAGGCCGTGGGACCCACGCCTCAGTGGTGCTGGGCGCAGGTGGGCTGAGTAGAAGAGAGCCAGGCGGGCTGCCCAGGGCGCACAGGAAGGAGCTGACCTGAGAACCCCACAGCCAAAGCCGGGGCCCCTTACCTCGCTCTTGGGCTCCGGAGAGCTCTCCCTGCCCGAGTCCTGGGGCATCTCCTTGACTTCCTCCTCCGGCTTCTCACACAGGTCCTCGGTTTCAGAGGTGATTTCTGTGGGGAAAAAACAAAGGCAGGTCCTTTGGGTAAGGGTTCTCCGTGCAATCCTACAGGGGGAAGCCGCTACGCAGTGGATGACAAGCTGGGCACCACCAGCTCTGCAATTTCCTGGCCAGCCCCAGGCCCCCCAGGGCTGCCGTCTGCAGTGTCTCCACACTCGGGGCAGGGCCCCCCTCGGCAGGTGAGCCCCACTTCCTGCTGCTGCATGTTAAACACGAAAACACGATTACCACGCTCAGTTCCATCCAGACACTTCTGCTCGGAAGACCAGGGCCGTAAGAGGGGAAGCCCCAGGCCACAGGCGGTGGGTCTCCTAAGAGAACTTCTGGGGCTGGCCGGCTGCAGCTCCAGTCCCAGCTGGGAGCAGATGGTGGCAGCTGGCGTCAGCCACTGGGGCGCCGTGGGGGCCACTGGGTGCAGAGCTCAGCCTGGTCCCCACCCTGTGCCTCTGGTCAGCTCTGTGACCGGAGCTCCACGCAGCTCACCTTGGAAGCTGGGCCGCTCCTTCGGGTCCTCGTGCCAGCACCGCTGCATGAGGTGCAGGAGGTTGGCGCAGGCGCGTGGCCGGGGCCTGCAGACGGGCGGCAGCTCGGGGCGGTGCCCCTTCACCACCTTCACCATGATGTGCAGGATGTTCTTCTCGTCTGTGGGCAGAGGCACCATCAGGGGGTCGTCTACAGAGAAGGGCAGGGGCACGGGGGACCACGTCCTTCCCTGCATAAGCTTGGGCTCTCTTTAGCCCAGGGCCCCCAGGGCACAGCTCGCCGCAGACACCTGTCTCTATCAGTGGGCACACAGGTGCCAGACCCCATGGCTCACGGCTGGCACTGTTTGGGCCTCAGGCTCCACCAGGTGGGAAGGGCTTGACCCTCAAGGGGCCAGGATCTATACTCTGCTCCACCTCCCAAGCTGGACCCCTCACTCCCTGCTCACAGCCTCCATGCCCTTCCGAGGGGCAGCGGCCACCAGCAGGTGTGGGGCGCTGGCCAAAGTCCCAGGCAGCTGCAGAGGTCCATACTGATGTTCACCCACCGCCCTGTAAGTCTGTGCAACACCTGTCCTAGCACGGGCAGGTTATTACCAAGGCAACTGACACTTCTCAGCCTGAAAGGCCTTCCAGATAAAAATAAAAGCTAGGCAAACACCCACTGTGCTGCCAGACACGGAGAGACGCACCGGTGCCCTGCACCTGGCTGCTCCTATCCAGGAGGCGGTGAAGTAAGAGGACATGTTAAAAGGAATTCACACTGCGGGCTTCCACGGTGGGACAAGAATGCAAGTGGGACAACGGGGTGGCACGATGACAGCGCCAGAACCTCGGGGAGGGCTGCTGGGACACCCACTCATTCAGCTCCAAAGACTCCCCAAGCCTTCCCACGCTGAAGGGTCTCTTTCTGCCGGGCACTTCCGCCCTATGTCGCTGCCAACTCTCTGCCTCAACCAGAAAGGGGCTCCCAGGCCTGAGGGCCAGGCACTCTTTTGTACTCTTTCCTTTTAGGTTTTTTGCCCTGGGGACTGAACCCAGGGCCTCTTGTACACTAGGCAAGGTCTACTAACACTTCTGTCCTACCACTCAGTGTGGGCACGCAGGAACACCAATGAAAGGAAAGACGGACCCTCCCTGTGATGTACCGCAAAGCTACTCGGCTTTCACAGCAAACCAAGTCAAGCTATTTCGCTCTGAGGACAGAAATGAGGGCCATGGGTGCCCGGCGGAGAGGCTAGGCTACCTCAGGTCAACCACGTGAACGCCCTGACTGACTGCAGTGAGACATAGTCACCATGCGGAGCTTTGTCCTATCTATGTTTTTAATTAAAAAAAAAGAAAAAGGGGAGAAGAATTAGCTGGAAAAACCCAGAAGAGGCAAATCCACAGCAAATTCATGGATGGAGGCGGGATTGGGAAGCAGCCACTCACAGGCCTATGCTTCTTGCTGGGGGTGACAATGTTCTGGAATCAGAACAGTAGTGAGTGTGCTGAATGCCACAGAATTACACACTTCATTATTTTTCTTTCTCTGGGTTTTTTAAAAGATATTTTTCCTGTTTTGTGTTTCTGTGGGGAATCCCACAGCATTCATTTTAAACATCAAAATGAAGTATGTATTTTACCACCAAAAAAATGTGGCACTGACCCACAGACCCCTCAGGGCCACCTTTCCTCCCGTGTGGAAACCAAGCTGCGCGAGCACCTGGTGGCCTGTGGGCTTGTGGTGAAGTGGCCCAGGCCTCTGGTCACATGGGGAAGGGGAAGCAGAACAGAGCAGGCCCCGTCCTGAGGACAGAGCGGCCAGTAGGAGCATGGACCACAGCAGGACTGCATGCCCCACAGGCCACAAACCCGGGGCAGCGTCACTCACCTGCGAAGGGCTTCTTCTGCGTCAGCACACCCCAGATGACAATGGCAAAGCTGCAAGAGAAACCGGCGCATGAGTGCTGAGCCGGGGCCAAGACCTGGCGCTCCTCCTATGCTTCTAAGGGGCACAGGCTCCCCAGCGAGGCCACCAGAGCAGCCACGCAGGTCCTGGGAGCCATCCTGGCCCCTAAAGTTTATTTTCTCGCAGTGCCAGGCGCGTGGCAGTGGGGCTGTGTGCTATGTGGCTGGGCCAGTGCCCGGCACCTTCTGGCTCTCCTCTACCCTCCACTTCCTTCCCATCCGGTGGGGCTCGGAGACACCGAGCCAGGCTCTGACCAAACAGCCAGTCCTAACCTGTGTTCTCTGTGGGTGCTGGGGGGCCACCAAGGAAAGGAGCAGTCCAGCAGCACCCTAACGCCCTCTTCCACTGAGGGTGAGGGTTACAGGAATAAAGAGCATACGTTTACAGTAAGTGAGAAAGACACACGCAAAAGAGAACGCCATCTGATACAACTTGTTTTAAAGAGTCCAAAGCCTGCACTCCCCCACCCGAGCACTGGCTTGACAGTGGCTATTCACAGAGCCACACAGAGTCCACACTGAGATCCACGGAACTCTGCAGGTCCAGAAGTTAGAACTCAACTCGACGGCCGCATCCGACTTCCCCAGCGCTGCAAGCCCAGACTCGTCCCGAGGGCGGTCCCCAGCACAGTCACCCCCTCAAAGGCAAGCTCAGCACATGACAATGGCTACTGTCAAACCAGTCAGCTGGGCGAGGACAGATGACAGGAAGGTAGAGCCGGATGCTCTGGGGCCAGGTCAGCCCTGCGTGGGCACCAGCGTGCGGCGGCCGGGGCAGCCTGCTCGCTCCCTGCTCCGCTCCCTCGGTTCCTCCTCCAGGAGGCCCGCGTGATTCAGGCCTTCGCCATCTGGAGAGGGAAGGGACCCAACGCCCCGGGCACTGTTCTCTAGGCTCACAGGTCCCGCCAATTTCCTGGCATGTGGAAACTGCTTGCGTCACAACCCACACACTCACGGATCCGTGGGTTCTTCCAACAGGCGAGCAATAAAGCCCACATTACAGGAAAACAACAAAGTGTGCGTGGTGCGGGCGCTGTCGGCTGCTTACATAACCGGCCCCGCCCGCCTGGGCAGGGAGGACATCCTCCCGGCAGCACGGGCCACAGGGAACAGGCTCCCGGGGGGCCCTCAGCAGAACCCCGACCCGGCCTGGCACGGCCCCTTTCCCTTGTCACCCACCTGTACACGTCATGCTTGGTGTCAAAGAGCCGGCTCTTCTCCCGGATGCGCTCCGGAGGGAGGTAGGCGATGGTGCCGAACAGGCCATCCATGCTGAGGTCATGGGAATGGGACAGCCCGGTGCACTTGGCCAGCCCAAAATCCGAAATCTGCAACACAACCGCAGGACGTGCCTTAGCCTGAGATGGGACCATGGGGGCCAGACAGCCCTGAGAGTTCCGGACTCTGAATGCGGGATGAGGAACTGCTGCAATCAAGATTTTACAAGCCAGGGAACTAGCTCAGTGGCACAGTGCCTGCCTGGCAAGCACAAGGTCCCGAGTTCAATTCCCGGTACCAAAAAAAAAAAAAAAAAAAAAATTAAGAGTTTACGGGGACAGGCGCCCAGGCCGTCCCACAGTGCCGGTTCTGCACGGCCACCCGGGTGCAGAGGGCAGGAAAGCAGCCCTTGGCTCCAGCCACAGAGCCCGGGCGGCTGGTTATGCAAGCCCCCAGCTGGAGCGGCAAGTGGCGGCAAGCCCTTTAAAGGACAGCAAACCTTCAGAAGCCTCAGCAAACAAAACACACACCTCGCTGCCCCGGGCATGCTGCACTCCGCCCGACGATCCGTGGCCAGCAGACATTTGCTGGCTCCTTTGCCGAACGCGCAGCACCCTCCTGCCCCGCCAGCAGCGCTTGGCTCTGGTACCCGCACGGCCTCCCACGTCCAGAGGGGGTTGGGCGCCTAGTGGCAAAGGTGTCTTTGCACCTGTGGCCGGGGACCCCCGGCGCCTCTCCAGGAAGCGTCTCGCCCACCCAGGTCCCCACCTCCTGGGGAACCTGGATGCTCTGCAGTGTGGACGAAACCCCAGCGCCTGGGCGCTAACGGGAGTCCCGGCCCCTTTCCCTGCTCCAGGGTTAGAGGTGGAGCCCCGCATTCACTCCTGGGCCCCTCCTCACGCAGGCCCAGGCTGCAACGGGAAACAGAGCTGAGTCGGGGCCTACCCCGGGCTGCTGAGTTCATCGAGGACCGGCAGCCTGCTGCAGCCACCACCACTGGCTCGGGAACTCAGCCTGCCTGGGGCTCTGAGCTCGGCCATAGCAGCAGGCAGGAAGGCCTGGCCCTGGTCTTCTCCTACGGCAGGCTCTAGGGCTCAGCTAGCCCAGGTACCAGTTCTAGGTGCCCTGATTCTCCTGGCTCCACAGAGGCCTTGGGAAGGAAACCACCTGGTCCCCGGACTGCGGCCACAGCCATCCTGCAGTCCACAGCGAGACCAGCCGGGGCTGCAAACCTCATCACGGGTTCAGGCCACAGAAGTTGCAGCTGACAACTGCCAGCCACCAGAAACGCTTTAAATCCACAAACAAAGAGAGCCTTGGATTTGGGGACCTTGGTGCCAGCGGCTTCTCCTGCAATGTGCCATCTCTCCTCCTGTCACAGCCACGACTGTCGCCACCTTCCAAAGAGAGATACCTCGGGACAGTGGCGCGTGCCCCTGGCTCCCGGCAGGGCGAAGCGGGCAGACTGCACACACGAACGAGACTGCCGGCTCACGTTTAACTCAAATTACCTTTAAGTCCACTGCAGGCGGGGCCTGGGGGTTGGACCGGGCTACATCCCCAGCACTTTTTGGTTATTTATTTAGTGGTGCTGGGGACTGAAGCCAAGCCTCCAGTACATGCTAGGCAAGGGCTCCACCACTGTGCTCCATCCCCAGACACCCTTTTTAAGTTTTGAAACAGGTCTCCCTAAGTTGCTAAACTGCCAAGGCTGGGCTTAAACTTGTGATCCTCCTGTCTCAGCCTCCCAGAGTGCAGGGATTCCAGGCCCGCGCCGGCTTACTGCCTCTGACACAGCGATAAGGTAGTAACCTAACGTCAGGGACATTTATAACACTAGGCAGAGCGGCCGGCTGGATGAAATTTCAGCTCTAAGCACATCCTGTGCAGAAGGGCAGGCAGACCTGGGGCCCGGGAACGGGTACAGGAGGTGCTGCCTCAACTGCTCCAGGCAAGTGCTCCCCAAAGCTGTCTCAAGGGACAGGGTGTCACTCGGCCCTCTGCACACCAGGCAGCCGTCTCTACGCCAAGAAGCAGAGGAAGGCAGAGGGGAGCGCACTTTTGTTTTCGGGCTCCTCGGCGGTGACTTAAGAAGGGCGTCAAGCTCACCCTGCCTTTCTCGCTGCTGGTTGTGGCGGCTCAGGCCAGGGACTGGGCTGCCTCCCTACAGGGCAGGTGTCACTTCCTGCCTGGGGAGGCCCTTCCTGGCCACTCAGGCCGTCGCTGCCACCAAGCCAGCCCTTCACAGCCAGGCGAGGCCCGGAGTGCCCAGCAGGCACACATCTCCTCACCAAGCACTAAGCACCCACCTGCACCAAGGCAGGGAGACGCCAGCTGAGCGGCAACCCGGAGAAGCCGAATTCCCAGAGCACGGCCCGTGCTCAGCAGCAGGGGCAGGCACAGGGCTGAGCAGCCACTCCCAACCCTGGACACAGACCACCCAGGCAGGGGCCGTCACGGCCCCCAACTCCAGAGGCGGGGACAACTCAACTCAAAGGCAGCGGCTGTCCACGCAGCCTCCCGCACACCCCCGTGCCTGCCTGGAGAGGCAGGGCTGCTTCTCCCACCCGCACCCCAGATCAGCCGGTGCCACCATCCGAGCCAGGACAACGGGGCCGCTCTGCGGGTGACGCCTGGCATGCAGAGACCGTGCATCTGAGACAAAGAGCTTCTGATGTACCGAGCACTTGGGACAGGCACTGCTGCAAAGAACCACGTTCTGTGACCCGAGGGTCCGGTCACCGAGCAGACTCGGGAAGTGGAGTCCGCATCTCCAGCAACCCAAGCCCCTGCCTCACACCTGAGGCGGAAGGTCCATCTTCTAGCCAGAACCTTACAATGTGCAATGCTCAGAACTACGGTCCAGAGCGAGAATCAGGTTTCCCACCTGGCTGCAGCCAGGTGCAGGGGCAGGTACATGCCATGCCCATGAGGCCCCCCGGACCGGAAGTGACGGGGTGCGCACCCCCGGGCCCCACCTTGACGTGGTAGTGCGCGTCCAGCAGGATGTTGGCCGGCTTCAGGTCCAGGTGCAGCAGCGGCGGGGACATGCAGTGCAGGAAGTTCATGCCCACGGCCGTCTCGTGCACGATGCGGAAGCGCAGGTCCCAGGGCAGCGGCTCTGCGGCCAGCAGCCGCTCCAGCGAGCCCGTCTCCATGAACTCCATGACCAGGCCCACGGGCTCCCGGCAGATGCCGTACACGGGCAGGATGTAGCGGAACTTGGCCATCTCCATCTTCTTGGCTTCCTCCAGGAGCTCCAGGCGCTCCCTGAAAAAGTACAAAAGCATGAGGGGTGTGTAATGGCCAGGCACAAACACAGAGCTCACGTGTGCGCCCCTGATGCCCCAAAGCTAAAGGCTGGGCCTCCCGGGGTCTGTGGTCCCAAGCTGCCTGAACCCCCAGCATGTAGGGAGACGATCTGCATGCAGCGGGCCGGCATGGTCAATGCCGGGGGGGCGGCGAGAGTGGAGGAGTGCACCCACACTCCCTCGTGTGGATGGGGCAGGACAAGTTTCAAAGCCACCGCTGGCCATGTGTCCATCACAGACCAACCTGGCTTCTCTATGTGAGCCCAGCGCTTCCACGGACCGGTTATCTCCTAACCCACTCCCACTCAAAGTAACGGAAGAGCTTTGGTCTTGAGCACGGTGCAGCCAGCTGTGCTTCTGACAGCAGTAAAACACACGTGATGGAGTACGCATCGCTTCAGCCATCACACGTGTGCAGGGCAGTGGCCTGGCATACTGTACTCCTCATGGAGGAACCATTGCCACCATCTCTGCCCAGACAGAGCCTCATCTCTGCCAGGGTGATCTGCACCCAGTAAACACCCAGGACTCCTCCTTCCTCTGTTCCTGGCCACTACTCTTCTACTGCCTGCAAATGTGCCTAAACCTGCATCTCATTCCTAAGTGGGATCACAGGGTTAGTTCCTGTGTGCCTGGCTTATTTCACTAAGCATGTCTTGAGGCCTGCTGTGTCAGAGCACCACCCAGACCTTGTTCGTATGCATGGCTGAATAACGCCCCACTGCAGGAACAGCGTATTTTTGTTTTGTTTTGTTTTGTTTGGTTTGGTTTGGTTTTTCTCTGATACCAGGAACCGAACTCACGACCTTGCGCGTGCCAGGCAGGCGCTTTGCCGCTGAGCTAAATCCCCAGCCCCTACATATTGTTTATCCACTCCTCTGCTGAGGGGCCATGGACTGCTCCACCTCTGGCTCTTGTGAGTAACGCTGTACTTTTGCATAAACCGGGGTACAGACATCTGCTGCCATCCTGCTTTCAATTCTCCTGGATATGCCGATGCCTATGGTGCTGAGTTCTCCGTTTACTGGAGGAGCGGCCAAGCCACGGACCGCAGCTGCCACCTTCTCTGTGAATGAGTTTTCACGGGGCATCTCCCCACTGTTTACACACGGGCATGAGGAGACCCTGAGAGGCCCACAGCGGCAGCGCAGGGACTATCAGCCCTGCATGGAGGACCGCCAGGCCTGGCCAGGGTCCCTTTCCTGGCGCAGCCACGTGCTGAGAGGAGAATCACAGAGCGCCAGCCTACGTCAGCGGCAGGGTCAAAGTCTCCGCGAGCACTCAGGGAAAAGGCTATATCCTGTGAGGATCTGGGTCAGTGATTCTCCAAAACAGACACACAGAAGACAGCCCGGAAGCTGGCAGGACACACAGAAAACACCCAGAAAGCTGGCAGGACCACGGCTTCCCAGGCCTGGCTCCTTAAGAACATGTTCCAGGCTGGAAAAATCTGCTTTCTAGTAACGACACGCTTCCTGAAGGGAACACCTGAGGCCACCCCCGAGAGCCCTGATCTGCTCCATCTGGGAACTTGGTAGCTTGGGTGCCCCCACACCCCAGACCTGCCAGGGCCCCCATGGCTCCCAGTGTAGGAAGCCAGCACAGTGCAGCCACCCTGCACCCTCTGGCCTGCTGGAGAATCCGATCCTCTGCCAGACAGTCCCAGATTCTTGTGGGTCGGACCTCGGCCCTAACACTGAACCAGACTCAGCTCCCTGACAGGAAGGAGGACCCCGATTCTACTGCTTACAAACTCCCACACAGTCAATGGGGAGCCCAGCCCCTGACCTTAGGAACAAGGGAAAAAGCCTCAGGGACGAATCGCTGTATCCCACCAGCCCAAGGTGCGTTCAGCATGGCTTGTTTTCTTAGCACGCAGAATAAAGGGCCAACGCATGGAAGCCAAGATATGTACAAGAAAGAGGGCCAGCCGTGGGGTCCCTGGGATGTACCCTCCCTCCAGCAAGAACCCCCGCAGCCTGGAGCCCACCCAGGATAGCCAGTCCCCTCCCAGCAGCCACAGGACCAGGCCAAACCGGAGGCCGTGAGCGTCACGGGGAGCGCCACGTGCCGTCCCTCCCCAGCCTGGTGACCAACAGCACAGCCTGGGCCAGACACCCAGCCCTGCTCCTGACTCAGCCAGCTTCTGAAGGAGAAAGGAGTGGAGGCCCAGACAGGCAAAGGCCCTGGTGGAGGAGGAAGCGGCAGCGCTGGGAGAGCCCCTTCTCCTGCGGACGCTCGCTGAGGGCCTCGCTGTCACCTGAAGGGGTTCCCAGGACAGGGCCTCCAACTCCCAGGTGGCTGCTGCCGGCGCCTGTGACCACCTGATGCCCGCTGAGCTTCTCGTTCCAGATGCAAGTTAGGACTTCCCGTTTTCCTGCTGCTTTAAGAAGCAGCGCAGGTACCGAGCCCCCTCACGCAGGTGAAGCTGCGGGAGGGCAGGGCAAGAGCCGAGGGTGATCAAAGCACATTACACGCAGGGACCAAAATGAAAGCCATTCATCTGTTTAACAAACTCTCAACTAACCCTACAAAACTTCAGATGAAATGGAACTTGTCACTCGTTTTTAAAAACTCTGCTGAGCCCCTGCCACCTGCCAAGTACTATACTCGGTTCAAGGCCCACAGGGGTGAGCAAAACCGGCACGGCCCCGCTCTAACTCGTGCAGTCTGTGCACGGCCAGCGGGGCAGATCTGAATCAAGGTGAAGCTCTGTGGTGCCTGGCAAAAGCTGCTGTGAAGTTCAGGAGGACAGCTGGCCCGCCCGCCCGCCCGCCTTATGTTAGTATTAACTTTCTTTGCAGACAGGGTCTCACTATGCAGTTCCGGGTGGCCTGGGACTCAATGTAGAGTGTGTTTGTGTGTGTGTGTGCCCATGCATGTGTGACATGGCTGGCTCTGAGGAGCGATCCGGGGGTTTCTGCGCCTTCCTGCATGCATTCTGCAGGGGATCTATGAGGACGACGCAACTCCAGGAGTTGAGGTCCCATTGAGAGGCCGGGCTCGTGGGCGCTCACTCCCTGAAAGCACAAAGAACCCATCTACACGGACACTGGAAGAGTCGCACCTGGCAAGGTGTGGGGTCACAAAAGCAGCCCCAGCAACCTCCTGGCCCAGCACCCTTGCACCGTGAACCTGGGCACGGTGCACCCCGCACCTCAAAGCTGTGCTCAGGGGTTCCTGGCTGGGCACTAGGTGGCCTTCTGAGAGTCTGAGCAGCCCCTCTGACCCAATCTGAGGGCTAACAAAGGTGTCTTTTGAGAAGTCAATTCAATCAAGGGGATCTTATTAAAGATCTGAGCCAGGCTGCCAAAAAAAAGAAAAAGAAAAAAAAGTTGTTGTCTTCCACCGCCCCGAGGGCCCAGAAGTCATCAGCCTGGCTGGCAGCGGGTCACACCCCAGCCAAGGTACCCCTCTCTCCCACAGTGGCCTGGAGGAAGAAGACCACCACTGCCCCTGCGCTATGGAAAGCTGATCCCACAGGGTCTCCCAAGGGAACCCCAAGGTGACACCACAGCCTGGGAGGGTCCCCTTCCCCCGGGCCACTGACTCCAGGCGTTCCACAGGAAATCAGCTACCCCAGGAAATAGGGGCAAAACCACCTTGTCTCATATGAGAAACCGAAAGCATCAGTGCATTAGGAAGCGGGAGAGAGATCTCCTGAAAACGGGGCCGGGAGGGAGAGACGGAGGGAGGGAGAGACGGGGGAGGGGGAGATGGAGCGGGGGAAATAAAAAGAATGAAGATGCGCCATGTCCAAGTACCAGCTCCAGCAAGAAACATAATCAGGACATACTGCAAACGTAAAAAAATTTTCTTTTAAAATCACCTTCTTTGCGCCTGCATGATCGGATAAGCCTCGGGGCATACAGGACTCTGGCCCCGACCTTGTCAGGCAGCCTGCACACGCAGAAGCTCCCAGCCCTTTACAACCTATAACTTCAGAGCCAAAATCCTGAGGACCCAGGCTCGACTTACACCCCAGGGGCCAACCCGCAGTAGAAGCTGGAGCTGGCTGTATTTGCAACTCAATAAGCCCGTACAGGGCCTCCCTGAGCCAGCTCCCAGGGAAGGGCATTTCTCTTCAGAGAGACACATTGTTTCTTGCTGGAGCAATTATTTAAATACATCACCCCACCCAGCCCTTCCAGCTGGAGTTGTGGACCAAACAAAAGGAACTGTAGGTTTTTAAATTTTTAAACTGTAGGGGTTTTAAATTTTATTTATTCATTTACTTTTTAATTTTATTTATTTTTGTGGGAATGACCCCAAAGCCTTTACACTGAGCTACAGCCTAGCCCTTTTTTAAAAATATATTGAGACATGGTTTTGCTAAATTAGTACAAGGTAGCCTGCGCTGGGCTCAAAGTTCCGATGCTCCTGCCTCAGCCTTCCAGAGTGCCGGGGTTACCCTCGCGCATCACCACACACAGCTGGTAGCTTTAGAATGATTACTAGTATTTCGGAATTTGGGGAGATTTTCAAAGCCTATCCCTGAGCCTCAGTGCTGGGGCGGGAGCCAGGTCCAGGGTACCTGCCACCGCTACCAGATGGCACTTCCCACGGCCTGCGGGGCAGCAGGCACTTCTGGGCCACTGCACCCCAAGATCAGCGTAATTAAATCAACCTCAAAGCTGTGGCGTCATCCTCCCGTCTCCTCCTCCTCCTCTTCCTCCTTCCCGGCTGGGGAAAGGGTGGCTGATGCGCTTCCCAAGAAGGGAAGGGAAGAGCGCCCCGACCCCCAGCCCCTCCGGCTCCCAATGGAAAAGTCAGAGTCAGCACAGGACTAGCCTGGGGCTCCACTTTCTGGTCTCTGAGAGTCACTTAGTCACTTATATCAATTCTACTTTCATCCCACTGAGGAAGAGCCAAGTGCAAAGGTCCCCGGCAGGGAGAAACGTCGCCAACAGCGGCACCCCAGCGAGGCCCATCCTGCCGAAGGGAGCTCTGCAGAGAGGCCCCCAGCTCTCTTTCAAGCACAGGCACAAATCCCCGATCAAACACCTCTCCAACAGCCAGAAAGCGAGCTCCCTCCCTCGGAAAGGGGCACGGAGGTGGGATAAAGGCAGAGCTGCCTCGGGCACACTCGGCAGGAGGGGGCCCAAGAGCGGCCGGGGTGACAAAGGGTCCTGTGAGGGGGCCTGGGAGCCTCCTCAGGAAAATGCAGCCGAGCTGGCCATGGGCCTCCTGTGTTCCCTGTGAGGCCTTGGCACGCCAACCCAATTACATTCCCAGGGCGCCTCCGAGGGGTTCCCACACTGCTATTTTTAAAACTGACAAGAATCGGGCTTGTCCAAGTGTCAGCGCTAGAGCTACAAAGCCGGGGTCTGCTCGGGCTCGCCCCAACTAGCCGGTGCCCAATACTGAGGGCTGTGCCCGCCCGACCTCGCCAGGTGCTTTGTTATTATTCTGCGCTTCCTCTTAGCTGGGGACAGGGAGGGGAGAAAGGCCTGGGGCCACTTTGTTTCACCTCAAGGAACACTAGCCTCTAGGGTTCACAGCAGACCCTGTGGCCCCCCCCATGAGAATCGGGGCCAGATTCTCCCCAAAGCCAGCTGGCAGGATCCTCCCAAGGCACTAAGCCCCGCAAAGAGGGGAACTCGACAGATGGGTGTTATCACCTGTGAACGAGGCAAAGAGTACCCCCAGGGTACTCGTTAGTAGACATTTCCCCGCCCCAAGAAGGCTGGACGGTGCCCCTGGCCAGACCTTCCCCACAGAGACGTACTCACAAGGCCTGGGGTGGACTGCAGTTAACACCTAATGCCGAGGGGTGGACAAAGGCTGGGGCCGGAGTGGCCACAGGGAGCCAGGAGACCCCTTCTGGCTGGCAGCTGTAGCCAATGAAAATGGGCCTCACCCACACCTGTCCCTAACGTGGCTCCCTCTCCCTCTCTAAGCAACTAGCCAAACCAACTCCGGTCACCCTGGAAACAACAGGCCGTGGGGCAGGCAGGCAAGCCTCAGCCAGGAGGTCGGTGCCTGCAGAAGCCCCAGGAAAACCCTAACCCTTTCTCAAGGCCAGCGCTTGCAAAAGTGGGGGTGGGAGCTGTGCGTCAAAGGAGCACTGAAAAATGTGCAGGTCACAACTACTGGAAGGCTGATAGCAACCTTGCAAGACTGCCAGGTGTGGGGCCCTCCCAGCCTCGCAGGAGACCCTGTAGAACACGGGAGATTAACCCCAGGAGCTGGCTCCACATACACAGCAGGCGCTGACCACCTTCTAGGTCAGAGAGCACCTGACCACCTTCTAGGTCAGAGAGCAAACACACAGCTCCAGCCCGCTGCCCCTGAGGCCAAATGCAGGAGGCTCAGGCTTCCTGTTGGGCTGCTGACCTCGACCCAGCCTCCCTCCGACAAGCCGACACCTGCCTGCTTTAGGCAGGGCAGGGCAAGCTTCCAGGGAAGGGACAACACACTCAACCAGGCTTCACAAGATCCACAGGGACCCGCCTGAGTGGAGAAACCCTCCTGCAACCAGGCCACCCAGGACACAAGGGGCCGGTGGCTGGAGGCAAAAGGGATTCCAGGGCACAGGCTGTGGACTCTGCCTGGGGCAGCGCCTGTTTACTCCGCTCTTCCAATACCAGAAATTGTGTACAACTCTGCTAGTGAATGAAGCTCACGTAGACCAGTCGACTCCCTGGACATTCGTGCCCGAGAGAATAAAAATGCCCCTCGGAGTCTTACCTTCTCAATCTGACCATTGGCTGCTATTCCAAACGGTTTGGATTTCATCAAAATAGCCACAGCACCCTGCCAGCCCGACTTCCCAGGACCAGAGGCACAGACAGGGAGGGAAGACTTTTTCCACACAACCTCAGCAAGCAGGTCAGCCGCAGCTGCAGGCGACTCCACGACAAACCCCCAACTCTACCGCAGCTTCCAGGGCCGCTTACAGGCGCTATGATGGAGCCTCCCAGCTAACAATAAAATACACACGGCGCAATGGGTCTCTGCTCCGCAGGGACACTGCCCGAGCTACTAGACACAAGCATCGCTACCCGGCCACGTAATAAGGGGCTTTAGAGACCCCAGGAGCAACACGGTGGGCGCTGGAAGCCAAGCCCTAGGCGCCGGGGGCTGTGTGTAGTTTACAAGGGGCTGCGGGTCTGAGTCTTGGTCTGTCTGGGGAAGCTCCACTTCACCCCCAGGAAGAATGTAAACTACATTCATTAAAGTTTAATGAAGCAGAACACAAATACAGGTTCCACGTAGGGGGCAAACTTCATTCAAGGATCAGCAAGCTAAGGTAGAGAAGCGAAGCTCATCGGTAAACTATCCAAACTCTACTGCACACCAGGGAATCTGGGAACTAAAAGGTGTCCCACAATCTTCTCACCACCTCACCCCGCAAGGGAGGCGCAGACCACGGTGCCGTCCACGGAACCCGCAGGGGCGGCGGAGCTCCTTCCCGGAGCACCCAGCTCCTTCCCGGAGCTCCGCCCCGGTGCCCCTAGCCCGGCCCTTCCTCCCCGGGGCTCGTCTTCGACCTGCGGTCCGCAGGGCGAGCGTGCGCGGCGAGGCAGCGGGGCGATCGGGATCCCGGACCGCGGGACCCAACAGGCCCAGGCCGGGCCGGTGCTTCCCACCGAAGTAATTAGAGTCTTAGGCCAATTTGTGCTGGGCGCAAATGACAGGGTGAGTCCGACCGCGCTCCCAAAGCCGGTCGCCCGCACCGCAATCCTGCTAAGCCCTCGCGGACCGCAGCGCGCAGAAGGGCCCTTGGGACGCCTGGGACCCCGAAACCCCGGGTACCCCCAAACCTTGGAGGACCGAGCAGCACGGAGGGCGCCGCACTGGTCCCGGCCCCCGCGACCCCGGGGTCCCCCACCCCCGCGCAGCTCAGCCCGCGGCGCACGGACCCGGACCTCGCCAAGGCGCGCGCCCCGGCTGCCGGGTCCCCTTGGGCATCCCCCGCGCCCCGCGCCCCACCCGACCTGTCGTCGACGTGCAGGCTCGGCGAGCACTTGATGGCCAGCCACGTCTTCCAGTGGACGTGGCGCACCTTGTACACCTGCCCGAAGCCGCCCGAGCCGACCTTCTCCCAGCTCGCGAACTCGCCAGCGTCGAAGGTGCGCAGCAGCCCCAGGGCCCAGGGGCCCCCGCCGTCGCCCTCCATCGCGCGCGCCTCGCCCCGCGGCCGCCCGGTGCCC